ATTTATTTACTTTATTATGCTTCACATTTGATCATAGGGACAGTCTAGTGCTCCATAACTAAAGCTAGGTTTATATTCTTTGAGTCTTCCTATCATCAGCATTTGCATATTAGTAGAGAACCGAAGGCTGGCTGGATGAATGAATGAATAGTAGGTTAAATTCTCTCTCTTAAACAATGGGAATTCATTGAATAATTTTTTTAAAGATTTATTTATGTATATAATAACCAGGGTACAGGCCATTTGGGATGGAGCCTATGACTGATAAGGAGAATGTAACAAAGTAACATACATTTTGGAGTTCAATTTTAGCATAATGAGTGTGAGATGCTAAAGGGCCATCCTCAAAGAGACTTGCGCAAGAAATTGGTATAGTTCTAACTTGAGTGAGAAATCAGAGCTTGATAATTAGGCTTGGAAATCACCATATACTACTGAAACCATAGCAAGAGGTGTAAGAAGGGGCAAGAACAAAAGTGGTAATCACTAGCACTTAACCCCAGTTGCTGGGGTTACCATAACGAAATACTACAAACTAGGTGACTTAAAACAATAGAAATGCATTTTCACAGGAGTAGAGGCTGGATGCTCAAAAGCAAGGTGTGGGTAGACCTGGTTTCTTTTGAGGCCTCTATTCTTGGCTTGCAGATAGCAACCTCCTTGCTGCTCATTCACAAGGCCACCTGACACCTCTGATGTTTCTTCCTCTTATAAGGACATCAGCCATGTTGGATTAGGGTCCCACCCTTATGATCTCACATAACATTAATTGCTTACTTGAGGTCTGTCATCAAACATAGTCATATTATAGGCTAAGTCTTCAATGTATAACGTCTTAGAAATACAATTTTGTACTTAACATGGGCTGAGTTAATAATAGCAACATAGAAGTCAAAAGCAAGCGAATACCAAGGTGGAAGTAAGCATGCTAATAGCCAAGGCAGTAGAGAAAGAATTCAAGTGAGTTACTGACAGATATGTGTCCCCACCCCCTAGTGGATAACAGTTAAAGACAAAGTATGAGCTAAGCAAAAGAACTTTCAAATGGAGCAGAGGCTGCTGTGGATTGATGAATGAATACGAGATAAGAAAATTATAATAGCAAAGGAATGATTGAGATCATTCCAGAGTCACCCCCAAGTAATATGGAAATGATGTTATTTAGGTGGTAGGAATCAACTACCTGCTCAATTTACTCTCGAAGGTAGACTGGGGCTTTAGTTCAAATCTGGCTCTCTCCCTATCTACATGAACTTTGCCAAATAATTTACCTCTCTAGTCCTCAGTTTTTCATTTATGAAGAGATTAGAATAACACTACACATTCTAAAATGTTCACATGTCATTACTTTTGAATGATAGGATTAAAAATCCTTCTTGTTTTCTGACTTTGGCTTATTTGCATTTCAGATTTTGTTAACAAACATCAACATAGATTACTTTTATAATTTAAAAAAATTGTATGTGTTGTCGTCAAAGGAAGCTAGTCATATTTTGTGTAAACATATGGCTGAATTGAAAATTCTAATAGTAGCGGTGAATAATTTCAAAAGAGGGAATGGATATGAAAACAGACTCATTTTCCCTTCTAGTAAAGGTAAAAATATATACTGAATACTGTGTACACAGAGTGGGATTGTGTGTTCAAAGTTGAAAAAGGAGTCATTTGTGTTTTTAAGAACTTTGCAGTCAGTGGAGTGAAATTCCAAACAAATAAATAAAACAGTGTAAGGCATTCCATGCCACAGTGGGAGAAACAAAAAAATATAGATAGGGAACATCAACTAAATGCTCCTTGGCTTCTCCCTGGGGGAGAAAAGATCCTGGAGGACCTGGAATAGGGGCCCTCCTGGAAAGGTAGGAGACCCTCACAAATCCAATATTGTCTCAGTGCTTATTCGTCTGTTTCACAATAGAAGGAAAATTTGTCCAGAGATAAGAGCCGAGAATGCAGCATGATTAATTTATATGGAGAGGAATCTCCCCGTTAACCACTTTAGTTGCCAATAACCTCAACAGCTGCGTGTCAGAAAGCTCAGGGGAGTAGATAGCTCTCACAACTGGAAAATGCAGAACTTTAACCACATTTTAATTAACCTCATTTTAATTCAGTCCAACTGGTGAGTGTGTATGTGTTTAGAGTTAATAAAATTTCAAAAATGGAGATGTCCAAGCTGTTTAATTTGGGGTCAAGTTGGTTTTTATTGTTCTTCAACTTGATAAAAGCTTAACAATTATTTTCCTCATTTGACATTTTAAGGAGAGCTTAAAAAAAAAAAAATCTGCCAGTGGCACTATCTGTATAGTTACTGTCTTTGTGAATACACAGGTTATACTAAGTTAGATACACTGCTGTGTGAAAACAGTGTAGTCACTAAAGTTACCCATGAGAATCCCAAAAGAAAGATAACATTGATACATTTTTAAATTAGTCACACTAAAATATGTGTGAGTTTATATGTCTATGCTTTGTGGCAGTAGTCTCTAAAGTTTGCATTTGGCCTTGCTGAACATAGACTCTTAGTTTCTCAGGCGATTTAGAATTAAGCCAGAAATGTTAAATGCAAATAAAATCAAAATCCATGTTGATGTTGTGTGATGACAGAGACCACCAGTCAGTTCACTATCCCACATGGCATCACGTACCTCAAGCCGGTCTTTAAGAATGTAAAACATTGGTATTTGCAATATGACTATAGAAAGTAAAACCTTTGGAATGAATTGGACATTTATTTGCCTCAGTGCCTTCTGAGGATAAGGAAGTCTCCATATGTTGTACAAGGAAGCTAGGCAAACTTTAAATTAAAGAGGAAGAAAGAAAGAAAATATTCCACATACATCTTCATTTTTTTTTTTAAAAAAAAGGGTGCATTAATGGTATCTCCTACCCCAGCTGAAATCTAGCTTGTTTTTTCTCAATTAGATAATAGTTTTCAAATAAGTAGGATGGCAAAATACAACTTTCTTCTGAAGCTTCATTTGTTCATTCATGCAGTGAATAGTTTTGAAACATCTATTATGTACTGGAGAAGTTTGAACCTGAGTGGGGAGAAGAACTGAAACAACTGTAATTATTAAACTACCACTCTAGCGAATGTTAACACAGGAAGGCATATGGTGTCAAGGGACTTATAATAAAAGATCTGTTCAGGGAGGTGAGAGTAAGCTTGCCATCAAGGAAGTTAAGATCCACCCAAAGAAGTCCAGACCAAGATAAAAGGAGGGACGAGAAAGGGGAATGGCTCTGTGCAGGAAGAAGCTAGGTGCCTTCAGGGAATTTAGAGAAGGCTCTCAGGAGAGAAGTCGCCCAGTGGAAGATTGCCCAGTGGAAGATTACCAGAGACGAAGAGGCTTGACATCATCTTGAAGGATCTGCTTTCTGGTTGATTATCTCAAGAGCAGTGGGAAGTCATTGAATGATTACAGGGTTATATTTTGAAAACTGACTTTAGCTCTGGTTTGAGAAATGGGGGTGAAAGGTCTCAGGTTGGTCCTGAAGGTGGAACCCCTGCCAGGCAGAGTCAGGGCTAGGGATGGGTAACTGTGGCTGCAGAGGAAATGGGAAGAACATTTTGAATTCAACTTTCTTGCATTGCTCAAGTAGCTCTGGCTCAGCCAGGGTCACTGGTGGACAGACTCGTAGGACGCTAGATTCTGCTTGCTATATCCTAAACACAAAAACTGGGAGTGGTATTTTCTTAAAAGATACATTGAGAGGCAGCTTAGATGCTGTTTGGGACAGTGGTGACAAGACTGAGATCTTGTTCTAAGATCAAGCAAATGAGACTCTTTGATTGACAGGGAGTTGGCTTTCCTGGGGGGTGGGGGGAGGCAATTTACCTTTATTCCCTGTGGTCCTGCCCACCTGCCTCTGCTGACAGTCTCTCCCTTGGATAAATCAAGTCATTGTAAAGCTTGCTGGGGATCTTCTGAGGAGCAGACTATGGATATATTGATAGTACAGGATCTAAATTTTTTAAGCTGGAAATAGGGTGAGCCTGTGATTCATTACCTGACAAAGAAAGAGGAAGTGACTTATGTTCATAATGAAACCTCCAAAAAGATGTAAACTAGGAATGTTTGGGGCAAACCTGGTCACCTTAGCAAGAAGGGAAAGTTGAAAGGTCACTGTGGTTGGCTCCCACCATTTCCCCCTTTGCAAAGGAGAGGCTCTGAACTGCTCTATGGAAATGCAAATCCAGGATGTAGGCTGACTTGGAGGGCACTTTATTCTTATATTATCTGCCAAGCTTGGGTAATTTTGAATACAACATCCCCCACCTTTATTACTCTGATAATTGATCATTTATAATTATAATTACTCCACGAATTACCCTTGGAAGAAGTTCAAAATGGGAGGCAACTCCCAAGAGCTCTTCAGAAATGCTGCACCCAGCATCAGGATCGGCATTGAACCAGATGCTCAGGTGTTCGATGTGCACTTTAGGGTATGAGAAAACATTTTCTGGACTTTACCTACAGCAGGGCATGCACAACCGAAGCAAAACTGACTGAGGCAATACTCAACCATTTTATGAGAAAAAAATATATCTGCTCAGACTTCATTTCAGCCACCACTCAAAGGTCACCATTTGTAGTTTGAAAACAACTCTAAAGCATCTAATAGGAATCGAAAAGTGAGGAAGTAAAGAGAAGATGCTTCGTGGGAGTGCTGTAGGAAGCGTATACACTTTCGATGCTGAGCTACTTTCTGAAACGTGCACTTAGTCACTCCGAAGTAAATACTTTGGAGCAGGAAACTCCGGAGGGCGGTGAGGGGCAGCTGAAAGTTTGCCAAAGCCCTTGGAGGGGCTGGTCTAGGGGACATGATTGGCAGCCACGAGAGAGCGAGGCTGGGAGCCAGGAGAGAGAAGGCTCTGAGCAGCGAGAGGTCCTGCCCAGCTGTTGGCGAGGAGTTTCCTGTTTCCCCCCCGCAGCGCCGGGGTGAAGTTGAGTGAGTCACTCGCGCGCACGGACCGGCGACACCCCCGCGCGCGCACACCGCGGGCAGGAGCCGGCCTCCTGCGCAGCTCCCCTCGGCCGCCGGGGGCCTCCCCGCGCCTCGCCAGCCGCCAGGCCCCCTCTTCGTTGGCCAGCCAGCGCCACATCTGGCTCGAACATCTGCCCGGCCCGCCGGGCGCGGGGTCCCGAGAGGGCGCGGCGCGGAGGCACCGCCGGGGTCCGGGAAGGCGCCGAACGCCGTGCTCGGGGCTCGGTCTATGACGAGCAGTGGGATCTGCCATGGGTCGGGGGCTGCTCCGGGGCCTGTGGCCGCTGCACATCGTCCTGTGGACACGCATCGCCAGCACGATCCCACCGCACGTTCAGAAGTCGG